AAACATTGATATTCCATTTATTGTTAGCGTTTTTTAATATAGATTTCAAATTAAGGAAGCATTACGATAAGTATCCAATTCGGTTCAAGTCATTTCAATTAAAAAGTTAGAATGGGATACACAACCAAGCTATTGGTGTGTTGGCTCAGTCAGTAGAGCGTCCGCCTCAACCGGGAGGTCGTGGGTTCGATCGAACCCCGGGCTGCTGCTACCTTGTTTGGTGTTCAACAATAAGGGATAGAGCAACGTCGATCTGGCACTGTTCAGTGGCTGCCGGGCTCACGATCAATTGTGCACAAAGAATTTCCATTTTCGGTTTAATTTGATAACATTAGGAGTGGATTTTAAAAGAGTTTTATTATTTTTATTATTATCATTTTAAAGAAAATGAAATATCAAACAGGATCTTCAAAAATGTACACCATTGTCAAGTTTGATTGAGAAAAACAAACATTCTTTTTATATTGTATAATAAACAAAATATTATTTGAAAAAATATTTTCAATTCTGCTCCGTTGTAATTAGAAAAAATGATAACTTGCGACAATCCAGATTACTTAAATCTCCTTTTGAATGAATCATTTTCAATTTTAATTATGAAACAAAAATCTATCTCTCCGTATTGTGTAATAAGAAAACTGTGATAAAAGAAATGTTTGCAATTCTGCCTCCATTGTAAATAGAAAAATGATACCTGGCGACAATCCGGACTACTTGAATCTCCTTTGGAATGAACAATTTTCAACTTTGATTGAAGAAAAAAATATCTATTTCTCTGTATTTTGTAATAAACAAACTGTGATAAAACAAATGTTTTCTATTCTGCCTACATTGTAATTAGAAAAAATGATACCTTGCAACAATCCAGATTACTTAAATCTCCGTTGGAATGAATAATTTTAAATTTTGATTGTAGAAAAAAATATACTTCTCTGTATTGTGTCTTAAACAAACTGTGATAAAACTAATGTGTTCAATTTTGCTCCGTTGTAATTACAAAAAATGATACCTTGCAACAATCCAAGATTACTTAAATCTCCTTTGGAATGAACAATTGTATCCAAAACAAGTCTGTAGGTGTATCTCCATGCATACCATTAAGCCCATCTAACAGTATCATAAGATAAAATCAAATTTTAACAATCAATGCATATTATTAAGAAGTAGGCGTTTTGCATTTTCTTTCTAATACGTAGATAAAAGTACTGGAATAGGAATTTAAAAACAAAGTTGAGTGTTGTTTATGTAATCACAGATTGAAATCGTCGATCATGTAGTGAAGAATAATTGTGTATATTGTGAGCTTTTGGAAACGTAAAGTCACAACAAACTGACGCATTTTGCAAAGATTTTTTGTTGGCTTGCAGTCAGTGAATAAAGATCGTGTCCTCGATCTTGTAATTTATAAAAACTGACCCATCTTGTTGAAAAATCACTTACAGCATGTAATACCGCACTCAGACACGGGTATAAATCTATACATTATACGGCATCAGGATTTTATCCCAAGTTTAACATATTTAGAATACGAGGTCATGTCAAATTTAATTTCTATTATGCGACAGTGATTGTATATGGTTACCTTTTTGATAGAACTAAAAAATCGCAAAAAGAAAGAGAAATGTCACAATTGATTTCTCACCTCGATCGAAACCCAAAGTTTTCTATAGGCTCTTGAAGATAAAATGTAGATGTTGAAAGGAATCTAAATGCATTATTTATCAAAAATGATTACGATGATAGTGTGATGTGGTAGGATTTGTTTGGAAAAAACATTCCAATTAACTTTACATTCTTATTGGTTAGAGGTATTGAAAAAAACAGTATCATAATAAGTCATTTATCGTGTGTGACGTCAATGTAATGTTGTTTTTCTGTTACGTTTTCAATTTATTTTTCATTTTAAAGAGAAAGTTCTGGAAAGAGATGAAGAAAAAAAAAATATGTGAGCGTTATCATTGTATTATTAAAGTGTGAAAGAACATCAGGAAAAAGAGGTCACTGGAAAGCAAGGCTCTTCAAATGCCTTAATATTCTAAATATGGCATGTAACATCCTAAAAATCGGGACGGATTTTTATGCCACATGTTCGTGTAGCCCCATATCTTTCTGTGTACAGTGCTTGTAACTTTACCAAGACTGGGTCAAGTTTCTTATCGTTTTGATGATTCCAGAACCTTGCCCTACACACCAATACTTATATGCTAGATGATCAACCTTTTCTGTTCGATTCCACAACGTTTCTTTCATAATGCAATCTCATGACCAAATCTCAACTTTATCTTTAATTCCTAATGAGTACATTTATTCTTGCAAGAATAGTCTCACTGTAAGATGTGTTTTCTTGTGACATCAAAATTGTAGTGTGTAAACAGTTACGTCAGGCGCTTATACACCACAAAAACATATTGAAAAGGAATGAACAGTAATACAAATTATGCAGCACTTTTATAGCACAAATTGAATTTCGAGAGCGCCTGGCGTAACTGTTTACACACTAGAATTTTGACGTCACAAGAAAACGAACCTTACAGTGAGATTATTATTGCAAGAATAATGTAATCGTAACGAATTAAAATGAAAAGTAATTGTGAAACGTAATAGAAAAAACAACATTAAGAAATCGTTTGTAATGACTTATCTTGAAGAGTGTTTTATAAAATTTTTGAGGCAAGTTTATAAGATAAGACCAGAAGCTTGCAGGCTGTTCAAAAATTCATTTGATTCAGATGAATTAAATTCAAACCCAAAAAGCTTATACTTATCGAATCACTTAAAAGAAGGATTCCTAAAGCATAGATCAGATTTTTTTTGTAGGATTTTAGAATTAAGTAACACATGCATGATTGCTGTGAGTGACATTCCTAGATCAGCCCAAATATGGTTCAAGGAGATTTGTTTTCATTTTAAATGTGTTTTTGTCTGTTGGAACAAAGTTATGAATAAGATATCCAAGACGGTATATTAGATACTATTTGCTTCGAAATAGTTATTGTGTAGGTCACCGAGTATGTAGATCATTTAAACGAAGCTACAGAAGTTGGATATAATCTTTGTATTGGCCTGTACATGGTATAACATCGCGGGAAAGGGCGTCTGGCAGAAAAAAAAACACCGACCTGACGGTATAGTCCTAGATAATAATGTGCTATAAAAAGCAAGATGATAATCATTATTTTGATTGATGACAGAGACTGGCTTGAAATTGTGGTAGTTAAAAGGCAGGTGATCCAATGGCGTAGTGTGGGTCCATCCATTAAGGGGGCAGTGCAGCGATTGGAGGAGGAGGTGGGGGGGGGGGGGGAGGCACCTGTCTTACTCGGGAGATGAAATTTGCATTCACAAGGCCGATGAAAAGAGGAGGGTGCACGATGTGATTCAGGTGTCCTTTTTTCTCTTTCTTTTCCCCTTCATCTTTCCCCTCTCTCTCTTTTCTTATTTAATTTGTTTTCACCACTCGATTGGGGACACGGTGGATACGAGCCCCTGTAGCTACAATACGTTACCGAGGGGAAGAAAGAATGTGTTCGCTAAAAGTGAAATTCCATGTCAATAATTTCTTCCCCTTTTTTAATTGTTATTTTCATTGTGTATAGATAGCTCATATACTCTGGCCTGAGCAGTTATCTGTATCTCATTTGTCCATGGTATGCGATTAAAATTAGGTCCGTATTGTAGGAGGAAAGTTTTAAGCTTGTTAAGCAACCTAACCAACGGATTTAAGATATTCATGACAATCATTCGCCCTCAGCATTACTCTGTATGTGAAGCCATTAGCCTCTCAGGCAGGGAGGGGGATGCATGCCATACGAGTACTTTAAAATTTTCAATATTTGGGCAACAGTTTTCCGACTTTGGGCAGTGCCGTGTTTCATTCCTATCATATGAGTTTATTCTCTTAAATGGACCCGGGTTCGAATCCAAGTCGATGCGCTATAGTGCCCTTTGGTATTAGGCATTAATCCTCATTACCAGGTCCCTCGGAGAGGACCTAAAGCCGTCGGCCGTCTGGTTGCTTACTAACAAGCATTTATGCTTTCCTTAACAGTCAGGTGAAATAACCACCACCACTCTCACTAATAATAATGATAATAATGATAATTTAAGGAAACAAAAGAAATTTCGTAAGACATGAAATAATCATAGAGCCAATAGAGAAAGATAAAGTAGCTGAAGATGAATAAAGGTTAAGATAAATATAACTTCTTGTAAGTTTGGTCCTTGATGTTATATTGAAGGCAACAGGCAGGACAGGATAGGAGTTAAACGAGTGTCTATTGCTACAGTGTAACATTACCTCCTGCATCTATTAAACTAAATTATGATCTTCTCATCACGCTCACGTTCCTCAACCTGAGCAGGAAAATTTGTCAGGTCATGATCATAATGTCTTAACCATAACATGTACATGCATCATCTCAGCTTAAGTCGATTCGTGTTTAGGACAAGAAAATAACAGCGTTATTGTCTCTTGCGACAGTTCCCTCCACACGCACTTAACCCATCTACCATTCTTACCCCGATTAGGAGAGCAATAATGGCATTTCTATCATGTCAAAACCACGATAAACGAGCACAATCTGGGGATGTTAAACGGCAAAGAAAGAGCAGGTGATTAAAATTGTTGCTCTTTTTACGAAGAAGTTCCCGGGGTCTGGACAATGATAGGTCGTTGTATCAGCACTCCCAAGCTGATCAGGGAGAACTTTATTTTTGGATACACATGATGAATAGATGTCTTACAGGTCAAAACGAGTTATATTAACGAGTCGTCATTATGAGCTTAGGTGATTGGTCTCGATACCCGGATTGTAAATATCTTTCACACGCGATACGAAATAAAATATCTTCTCTTATGAGAGACTAGTTCGAGACAAATTTAGCCCCTCCCCCCCCCCCTCCCCCCATAAAAAATATCATTGCTGCTGCGTTAATGTTTTGTTTTTCTTCTTCTATATTATCCAGACTCGTCGCACATCTCCAGGATAGGACCGGAAAAAATGACTCTTCTATCTCCAAACAGGATCGATCTATTGATTCTGCTCTTTGGTGTGGCATGGAGTAGCACCATCGCACAAGACATGGCTCTCAACACTACCCCTGAGAGTGATATGATGTCGACGTCTATATCATACTTCAACGAGTCCGTAAACGAGAGCGATGTCGAGACGGGTTCATCAGGTTGGGCCTGGTACCCATTCACTTGGACCTGGTGGCTCATCGTCCAAACCATCCTGGCCATCCTGGGCGTCATAGGAAACGGCATCGTGGTGGTTGTCATCTACCAACGCTATTACTCAATACGCTCCACCGACATCCTAATCGGGGCTCTCGCCATCAGTGACCTCCTGACATCCATCTTCTTATTCCCGATCCCTTGGGCGAAGAAGGTTCCTGATAACATCCTGGGACGTCTTTACTGCAAGCTCCTGTACCCTTCGTTCTTCCTATGGTTCTGCATCACAGCAGCTACCTACCTCCTGGTGGGAATCTGCATTGAGCGCTATGTGGCCATCGTCTATCCTCTATACTTCAACCGAGTCAGCAGTAAACGGAAGACCACCACCTTTGTTCTTGGCTTGTGGCTGTTCAGCTTTCTCCTGGTGGTCTACACCCTCTTCATCTTCATCTATGACGAAAGCATTGGTTACTGCGCTGGCATCATCAAGACCGAGCTGGGCCGGGTTGTCCAAGCCTACTATGCCATCTCAATCCGGCTGATCATTCCTGTAGCGATCATGTTAGTCACCCAGATCCTCATCGCTAGGTCTCTTCACATCCAGGCTAAGCGGTTCCAGGGAATGGTCAACAGCGGTAAGGGTGACTCGAACCAGTCATTCCACGTCGTCGCTCGGAACCGCATCGTCAAGATGATGCTGATTGTTGTCTTGGTATACGTCGTGACTTGGTGTCCTAACCAAATAGCCTATCTCTGCTTCAATCTCGGATACATCAGCTCATCCTACAGAGGAAGTTCTCTGCATCGGATCCTTACCTTGGTAGGTTTCCTCAACTCCTGCGCCAACCCCTTCATCTATGCTGCAAGAAACCCTGAGTTCAGGTCAGCAGTTATGAACATATTCCTGTGCTCTAAACAAAAGGATGAAGCTGTATTCAGTGGATCAGGCAGAAACACAAAATAAACCAAATACTATCCCTCGAAATCAGTACCCGATGCCTGATAACATTATAAATAACCTCAGCATGGTTCTGAAAGATGTGCAATTTTTAATCCTTTGTAATGTGGTCCTACATTATACTGTACTTTGGTCTTTACGCTCTTTAGTCCTACTTTCCATTCGTCCGATATTTCATCGGTTCTGCATAGTTACCTTTAAATCAATTAGATGTGCATCTCATTGCTACTACTAGATTCCATTGGTATTAGATCATATTGGTCCTGCATCACACTGGTCCCATATCCCGACTGTCTAGAACACGTTATTGTGTCATGGTCGACTGGTTTGAGCACTTGACTGGGGTGCGGAGGTCGTGGGTTCGAGGCTCACCATGGCATGATTGTCCTTTTGTAAGATTTGCATATGCATCTAACACTCCTTATCCCCAAAGGCTATTATAATATTTCCATATCTCGACCATTTGTATAATGTTAATTCATCTGAACATTAACCTTTATAAAGATTAGTTTCTGTAAGTAGCCCCCGTGATCCCTCCCAGTCCTGGTAGGGTAACGAACACTTTTACTTTAAATAAACATCTCAATAGGGATCGCTGGCTTTAAATGATTATCAGGCATAAGTGGCTTTCCCCCCAAAAAAAAAGCTTTTGTAAAAAAATGTACATGCTTTTATATATATTTACCAATACATCACGTAAGTTTGATGTTTTATACACCACTTATAGATCAATTTGCACATTTTCTGTGGCTCAGCATATATAGATGTGTATATGTATATCATGATACTGTGTTTATATCATTATGCTTATTTATAATTTGCTGTAAGTGTGAAATGTACATTTTTAATCGAGCAGTTAGATATGACAAATATCATGTATATAGCATATTAAATTATTGTCTGAATGTGTCGTCGAGACCGTTCTCTCTGTCTCTCTCACTCTCACTTTATTAAAACATTAATGTACAAGATGTCAAATTTCAGTAGAAGATAGTCCTAAGGCAGAAAGTGATCGATATTAATTCTGTTTCAATAAAAACACCCCCCCAATAAAAAAAACACACAACAAAAGTGAGCGATCTTAAACCTCAAATATTCCAGAACAGACGTCATGTTTAAGTTGGTCTCAAAAATTATGCTGCATTTACATTGTACGGTATTATATTTGTATTATAGTTTATTACACTTTATCCGATTATATATCTAGTTCTCTATTTTAGCCTATTTATCTGTCCTACTCTTTATCTGTCCCTTTTATTGTGTAGTCTCCTCGCCAGCTTCTCTTTCTCATTTCTCTATGCCCTCTCTCTCTCTCCCCCTCTCTGTTATTATCTTACCAGTCCTTCTAATATTCTGTTACATTTGCCTTATTGTCTTCTGCTACGCGATCGTTCTCCTTCAATAATCCTTTAATCATCCGTTTCAATCTCTTCTCTTGTTTCTCTTCCTTTCTTTGATCATATCCTTGATTATTTATTGTGAATCGCAATTTATATGTATATGTTATGCTTTTGAATGTATCTTTTGTAAATTCAGTTTGTTTCAGCCTCTGGCTGCTATTTGAATGTTTTTTAATCAATAAACCATATCAAATAAAATGTTTTGATATTATAAGCAATTTTGATAATGGAGGTGAGTTGGCTCAGTCTGCCTATCGTACCAACGATCTCGGGTTCGAAACCAAGCCAGGCGGATAACTGAAGCCTGCGTTGTGTGTTAACGTGCCCCTCCCCTGTTTTATAGACGCATAATATGTACGCATATATATATATAAAGTGGAAAACACTCAGTCCCTCGGATAGGACGTTAAATGGAGGCCCCGTGTAGAGGAGAGTCACCACCTTTGCACATTAAGAACCCACATCGCTATTCGTATAAGAGTAGGGGGAAACCCCGGTGTAGTGATCCACCTGCACACCCCCAATCACTTATACAGGGAAGAGAGACCCAAAGGTTACAGTGATTCAGTTCGCTTTTCGCTTCTCAGGCACAGATGACGCCAAATACTTAATAATAATAATAATAATAATAATTTATGCAATGATAAATTTTATGTTTTTCGGAATGCACTAAGAAATGTTTTTATGGTGCAACTGAATCTTATAAACTACATAAACTTGGGTTATTTAATCTATTATTCTGGAACAAATGATGACATTGTTTTGTACATACAAATAGGACTCTGACGCTGCTAATGCGACGTGTCCTTTGTAATGCTACGTTTACACTATGATCCTGGCGGCCACGACAGCCCCGTTTTCCCGAAATGTAGCGCGCGTAGGATTTTGGCCATTTACAAGGGAATAACAAATTAATTGTCATTGAATAAAAGGACGGACGCTATTATGAACATTCGTCGTTTAAGTTTGCTCATGGTATAAGAGCTTTTAAATCGGGATATCTTGTTCTTAAAAACTTACTTCCTTTCTTTAATGTTTACTTTTCTCTGTTGTGTAATAAAGGTTATTTAGAATACTATCCCATCCGAATACAACAGTGCAATCCATTTTAGCAAGCCATAAAGACCCGATTTTTTGTTTACATATCTCATAAAAACCCGTACATTTCCTGGCTTACTATAGGTCTATGTAGGTCATTCTTAAATACATCAATTGAATGACAAATTAATAAATCATCCCGACTATTAATAATAATAATAATAATAACTAGATTTGTAATACTTGTTTGGAACAAGTATAGGTGGGCTGGTCCAACTAAAATTTAAGACAAAATGAGGAGCACATTTGAGATAGCTAATCGTCTCAGCTACAACACACTCAAAGTTCAGCTCAAACGAAGCTAAAACAACGGAGATTTTGCTCGCGAAAGACGGAAATGTAGAATCGAGTTTTGAGAAAAAGTCATGTCCCGTAGAGAATACACGCAAAAAGGGAAAAATGACATTCTTCCTTTAATCGCAAAAAAAGCCATGATTCCTTTGTCAAAATGAAAAATCTTGTATACTGCATTTGTATTGAATTGTCTTAGCTAGAACATATCGAAAGTTGAAAGAAAATCGATCAATATTTACAGAGATACAGTCAATTTTCCAGAAATATGCTGACGTCATAATATGCAAATTAAAATTTTGAGTTGGGAGGCCATTATGATGACGTCATGAGTTAATAGAAAGTCGAATGAGACATGAACTCATATTTTTAATCCATACCATAATATGGAAAAAAATTGGGTTCACCTTGCATCCTAAAGCGCGACAATGGATTTTGTAAAGGCATGTTTTTGCCCATGTATGCTATGTATTACAAGAGCTCGCACGCACGGAAATTATCTTAAACGGACGCTCATTCCGTTATTAATGGTCAGAAAAAGATGAACAAGGTATCAAAATGCTTAAAATAATGTGCCAAATATGATGACAGAGAAAGTTTGGCGATTCTATGTTGGAAAATACCAGTACGCGCGAAAACGCGCGCGCATAAGTGCTCTCGCGCAATTTTTGAAAATGCTTAAAATGGCCTGAAACGTATGCAAAATTAATTTGAGACGATTTTGAGCATTTTAAAATTTTGCGCGCGCATTGACGCGCGGACGTACGCGCACGCGCGCGTTATTTGACCTGAAATTGACCGGACGGATATTGACCTCGATCATGATAAATATGAATGAGAAATAGCTTTTGGTTATGAAGATATGATCATGAGTTGATTTTCGTAAAATTTTACAAAATGGCGCCTAAATGACGTCATCAGTAAAGGACAATGTTGAAAACGTTATTGTGCTTTGTACATATGCCTTTACATATGTGTGCCAAATTTCAAGGCATTTGATTGAGCCATTTTCAAGTTATCTTGCTAACAAAAAAGTGGTTAGAAATAAGAAAAATATTTAATAAATAAATAAATAAATAAATAAATAATAAAGGCAATTCTAACGAAATTATAAGGTGGTCTGTACGTTATACAGCCCACCTGATAATACATAACATTTATTAGGCGCTTAATACTGATGTTTCTAAGCGCACAGTGTTCTGATTAAGAGAAGACTATAACCCGTAGAATTAAACTAGAAATGCAATCGTGTCACAACGATGTGCGTGCAATGACGCCGTGTTTCTACGTGTCGAACGAAAGAGCTTCTCTCGGACTATCCAGAGCAATTTGTACGAAGTCTTTAGCTTCTGTAATATTGGAGACAGGTAGGGCGAAAGAAAGGCCTCAATAGTGACCTTGATGGGATGGTAGTGACTATGCCTACGATGTTTGAAAGAAATTGGGATAGGGGAAAGAACCTAGAAAGGGCTCGCAAGCACTACGTGCAAAAACAAATGGGATTAGTTGCATGTTCGTCATTGCAATCAAGATCGTTCTAGGGGTCAAAAGCGTGAACCCGATTTGCCCCATAGACAATGCGTGTAATGCATGGACGGAAAACGTACAGGATCTGTATTATGACTGGAGTTAAATTGTTTTTTCTCTCTCTCTTTATGTCTCTTTATGGGCCGTATATGGTATCATTGGAAAGAGAATTTCATGGTCGTTATTTTATTGTAAACTACTCTTTTTTTTTATATGATAATCCTATCGAAACATGTGATGTAAAATAGATTTAAAGGACAAAATGGCGTCTTAAATGGCCCCCTTGACCAATTTCAAAAATCCGGCCAAGAGGTGCCCTGCGTATTGCATCTCGGAATGTCATTGCAAATTTTCAAGGAAAAAAAAGGATGTTTAGGGGGCGAAAAGTAGTCTGAAAAAATGACGTCATGGCCGATAGGTGTTATAATCGGGCGGAATTCGTATAGTGACCCTTGTTCAAATGCGATTTACTCACAATTTTCTGTGTAAACATATACCATACTTGGTATCATTCGAAAGGGCACTTCATTGCGGTCAGTTTGACACCATTGTCATCTGCACGCAATGTACTGCACGCATTAAAGGCGCTATTACGTAATGCATAGCAAATTCATCATTTTTGGCGATAACTTTGCAACGAGGGCATTACAATTTATTAAACTTGGCAGACAGTTGTCACGTATATGGATA